AGACTAATCCTGCCAAGCGTCCCCAAATAGATGCCACGAGGCACGCTGGCTAATACGTTACAGTACAATTCATATTGAACATCAAAGCACGTAAATGGTATATACCGAATATTATGACATTTAACATTACGTCCACGCGTATTTTTGTTGCCAAGAAAAATGGATTCAGACTCAGTTGCGAACGTAGTAATTGTTTAATTTGAACTTTGAATTATTTTTATATTTTCTAAACTTATCTGCTATATTGGGATGACAATGCGTCCAGGGAGTATCTTAAAATTACAGCCACGTCCCAATATGTGTCGCACTTTTCCCTTGTTCTTGTAATGTGAGAATTCTGATGAGCTATTGTTGACGTCATCGCGTGAAGAAATAAAAGATGTCACCTCCGTCGTAGTATGTTAATTGAGAGTCGGCTTTCGACGGCTTTGCCGTCATCAGTCTACAAATATAATTAAAATACCAAGTGAATGCAAAGTAAGAGAAAGTGAGGGGAATTAATAAAAATAATTGATACATTTTAATTTATAACAATTAGCCAATCAAATTATAAGGTATGAAATGCAATGGCGGTATTAAATTAGAAAACCAACACGCACAAACACTGTCATCCACAACACATCCCAACATCCACCTGCTCACAAACACGCGGCTTTTGATGCCATGATTCACAGACTTGTCAGCCTTCCCTTATCACAAGACAATTTTCAAAACGAAACACACACCATTAACTACATCGTCACCGCTAATGGATAGTACAGTACCACTCTCGTTCACAACATACTACGCCGCAAATTAAATAAGGAAAAAGAACAACAAAAAACTGAAAACGTACACACCCAGAAACCATCAAAATTTATTTCTATCCCATTCTTTAGAAAAATATCACAAAAGGTAGCTCGCATTCTTCACAAATACAATTTTCACGTTTCCCTTTAAACACACGAATCCCTCAAACGGCTACTCTCACCTCGCAACACCACTCCACTCATGGCGAAGTCAGGAGTTTACGAACTCCACTACCACAATTTGCAAGCTAAATACATAGGCCAGACGGGCAAAAGCTTCAATCCCAGAGATAAAGAACATTCACATGCCTGGAAACACAATACAAACAGATCGCACTTTGCTACACATCTAATAAACACAGGCCACACTTTCCACCCCGACCAGATATGAAAATTCCTGAAATAGAAAATAAATTCTGGAACAGAAGCGCTTTAGAAATCTTTCACATATTTCAAGCCTAGCAGAAATCTGAAGTTCTTCTCAACGAACAAATTAATTTTCCTGTGTCATCTCTGCTCATAATTTTACGCACTCCTCCCTTACAAATTGTCCCCCCTTCTTGGAAAGGCCCCCCGACCTTTCCAAGAAGACAAAAAAAAGATCTCCGACCCCTCACCGGAGCAATAGAAGGCCATAAAAGCCTCGTGACACATTCCCTCTGGCCTCTGGCCCCCTTTTGCCTCAACCGCGATGTGAGCAAATCGGCTCAACTTATTTTTTTCCACTTTATGTAATATCATTTGCTATTGTTTCTAATTATTATTACTATTCCACTTCTTTGTTGTATCTTTTGCAACTTCATAATGTGTATTTATTTGTATTTAATATTTTTTAATTTGGATTTCTATTTTTTCTGTAATAATTATAATTTTAAACGTATCTTTTATTTATATTAATCCCCTCTTTGTATTTTATATTTGTAATTTTATTTTCTACTGGTCTCAATATTAATATCCACCGTGCATTTCATACTTTGCAATATAATTGGCTAATTATTATAAATTTAAATGTATCAATTATTTATATTAATACCCTTCACTTTGTGTTACTTAGTATTTACGTGGTATTTTATTTATATTCTATTTTGCCTATATTTGTAGACTAATGATGACGCAGTCGAAAGCCAGCTCTCATATA